CCCCCACACACTCACTTGCACATGCCCCCACACACTCACACACAATTGCACATGCCCCCCACAAACTCACACACACACATGCCCCCACACACTCACTTGCACATGCCCCCACACACTCACACACAATTGCACATGCCCCCCACAAACTCACACACACACATGCCCCCACACACTCACACACTCGCACATGCCCCCACACACTCATACACACACTCGCACATGCCCCCACAAACTCACACTCACACACATACCCCCACACACTCACACACACGCCCATGCCCCCACACACTCACACACACACTCGCACATGCCCCCCCACACTCACACACACACACACTCGCACATGCTCCCACACACTCACACATGCCCCCACACACTCACACTCACACCACATGCCCCCCCACTCACACACACACTCGCACATGCCCCCACACACTCACACTCACACACTCGCACATGCCCTCACATGTTAGAGACTAAGACCCTCAATACCCCAACGACTTGTCTTACCCACGGGCCTCGCCCTGGAAAATTCTCAGGATGAAAATAAGCACCCAACCCTCCAGCTATAGCTCTGAGAAGAATGCATTCTATGATGTGCTTGCTCTAGGGTGTGCTACCTGCAATTGTTTGCTCCAGGGTGTGCTACCTGCAATTGTTCCCGACCCCCTGCCAGGTTGAGGTTGAGTGATCAGTCACAAACAGCTTCCATGCCGATAAGATGCTGATTGGGGCTGATTGACCCAAATCCGAGCCTCATCATCCCCCCACTCTATTTTTCTGTTCATACTTCCTTGTTTCTGTATGATTATAAAACCAGCAGAAAATCTAAGTAAAGTAGACCTTGACAACCATTTGCTTGGTCTCATTCCTTTCTCTCGCCCATCTCTTTCAGGCACGGTCCCCCTCGCCCCCCTGGGTCCAAAAGGTCCCACGGGTCGGGACACCCACACACTCACACACACACTCGCATATGCCCCCCCACACTCACACACACACTCGCACATGCCCCCCCACACTCACACTCACACCACATGCTCCCCCACACTCACACACACACACTCGCACA